TTTAAAAATATTTTTATAGCGTTTCTGCATAAAACATTTATCTAGCTTTCCAATGATGTCAAAAGATTTCAGATTGAATTTGTCATTCCGATGCAGTTACGTAAAATGTAACAGCGGTAACGCTTGAGAAATGCACTTACCAGTACAATACGGGATGTGCTGCAGGTGACGTACATTCCTTCCCTCATGGCGAGTAGGCGAAGTCTTGCATGCACTGGCTGAAATCGCAGTATGGCACCAACTTTTCCAGCGCCATCTCTCATACTCTTTATCTAACTGCGTGGTAGTTAGGTCACGAACCTTTATTTTGTTGACATCATTCGAAAGCTAAATGAATGTTCTACATTGAGGTACTATTAAATTTTTATCAAACACTTGGGGAAAAGTGCTGTAGAGCGATAAAGATAACCGATTTTTTTTTTGGCCCACCCTGTACGTCCGCCGCTTCAAGTATGCATGTATGCAATGTATATACCGTTCTTAGTGCAGTGTTAGTAAATCTAGTCAATCAGGCGTTCATCTGAAATCGATTCATTGCCTTCACTGTCCAGGGTAATGTGCGTCATTTAAATTAGTACCCTCTTTTTTAAAACAGACAAAAGTCGAAAATACATCACGTAACATTCGAAGTGGATCATTATGAACCACTTTCTTCCCGATGGGAGATCAATTTCATTTTAAACAAATTATTCAGGCTGCTTGCAACCAGGTGGTTGCACAGGAGCAATAAATCATATATAGTCATTTAGAGCAGTGATCCACTTTGAATGTTGAGTGGTGTATACTCATATAGGGGGTAGCGCCTCAAAAAAGAAAAACAACTCAGCAGTTAAAGGGTTAAGAGGGGTAGGTCTATTTATGATATACGAGATGAACACTCGACTTTGATACGGAATGTCTTTATGGACAGAAATATCTCGCGACGTCCCCACCCGAGCGATGAACCATGAAAGATCCGTTTAACCGTTAATCCGTTTAAAACTTAAACTGATCTGGTTTCGTGATAGGCGTCTACGGGAATAAGATTATCTCCATTAAACCAATTCCCATAGAGGACCATTGTGAAATCAGATTAGTTTAACTTAAACACTTCTGGTGCATGTCACTCAATATTTAAAAAAATTGTCAAGCGTGTGTGCGTTTTCTCCATGCCTTTCGTTTCTGGCCCGACTGCTGAAATCTCATTATGGGGAGATGAAAAGCCTTGTGAAAAGTCATGTTTTCCCAAAGGCGCCACTTCCACAGTGTTTTTATATTAACCTTTAAAAGACTGAATTTATTTTTCGTCGACCTAGGGTAAAAGACCCAGTGATGGGCCTGTTAATGGCGGGTATTCAGTGATGGGCCACTTCGCAGGAAAATTCCAAAAACTAGGCATTTGTTCCATGAACACCTCTAAAGTGTCTATGTGCTTGAATAAGTGGAAAGATGAACCTTGGTACATAAGTAAATATTGGGATGCTGCAGAAAACTTCAGACTTTAGAAGTAAATGCCCAAGGGACACAAATTTCAAAGGGAGATGCTTTCAAATAATTTTTCGTGTCATTTAAACTGATTAACATGGAAAGCTGAAAATTTGCATGAATGTGACTACTGAGACAAAGAGTTACATCAAAATGTTACATCTTGATACATCCCCCGGGGGAATTTTTTCAAGGTGCGATGTTTTGAAAAAGATATTCTTGCGGCGAATTGGACAGAAATGGAAAGGTGAAACTTGGCATGCGTATAAGTGAGATGATATAACTAAGCTGATGGAGTATTCAGTTTTCATAGGGCATCCCCTCTGGGTAAGGCTTTTCGGTCAGTTGGCTTTTCTAAGCATGTTTTTTCACCAGCGAAAACAGCTTTTGGGTCGGTCGCTTTTCCAAATACATTTTTTCCACCAGAAAAAAGGGGAAATATATAAGGCTGAAACTGGGTGGCATGGAGTTCCCTGAGTCTTCATTTCAAAAGAAAAAAAAAATTCGTTTAAACACATTATGGCACTTTTTTCTGTTCTATTTCCCTGTTTTTTTTTTTTGTCCAACGAAACAGAGACAGAAAATGTCATCTTCCCTCAGAAGTACCTGTTTGAGGGCTGAGTAGAGGAAAAATCCTAATTTTGAAATATGTCTGCTTAGCGTAGATTATTGGAGGGAAATATTCCAAAAATGTACTCTCCACCCTTACAAAAAGCGACACAATAAAAGATTTCAAGTTAGGCACATGTAGAATCATAGAGGTAATGATTTTGATAAAAATCAAGACTTTCAATCCCATATGTCACGTATTTCAATGGGGACATACTTTAAATACGTGCTGTCTGTTTCACCGTCCAAGGTAATAGAACGCCGAAGGCACGACCATAGCAAACAAACTCTCTAGTACAGTATATTCTTATAGACAATTTGATGAATCTGTGGGTGAATAATTGAAGTTGTAGAAACTGAAATGATGTGATATGTGGGAGTCAGCATGTGAGACCTGATGGGCATTTCTTACCATTTGACCTGGGTAAAACTTAAGTTTAAAGTATTATACCACATTCAGCAATTTCATCCATCCTTGTTTATCCACCATAGATTACGTTAAGTTTCTCATCTAGTCAAGTATTATTTTCAGCCACAAATAAGCCTGTGGTTTTCTTCTGGTTTTCCAGGTTGAAAGCACAGTGACAAAATGAGGTTATTGCCATCAATAAAGTGTAAAAATGCAGCACTCTCTTGTTTTCGTTACATCTCCGAGGCATCCAGTAGTGCTGCATCGGTGGACCAACATGATGTGTTGGCAAAGAGGAATGCCATGTTCAACAAGGAGCAAGAACGACAGCGGTCGTTGATCGCTCGTTTGGAGAAAATCGAGGTGCAGTATGAAGGTGCCCCCAAAAATGCAACGCTCATTATGAACAAAGGGCTCTCAACACCATTTGACTGTGCAAGGCATCTCACTGAGATGCTGCTGAAGCGCAGCTGCATCGCAGAGGTGAACGGTGTACCGTGGGACATGCACAAGCCACTGGTGGAAGACTGTCGGCTCCGGTTGCTCCACTTCCACGACCAGGACCCGTTTGTGGCCAATAAGACCTTCTGGCGCTCGTGCAGCTTCATGCTCGGAGCAGTGATCGAATCCGCCTTCAAGGATGGCGTCACGGTGCATCTGCACAGCTTCCCTCCACCAGATGTGAAAAGTGGTAGCTTTGTCCACGACGCTCAGCTCGGCCTTCCGGATTGGAGTCCCCGCAAGGAGGAGTTGCAGATCCTTTCTGTGCAGATGGTGAAGTTAGCCTACAGGGAGCTCAAATTCGAACGGTTGGAGGTATCCAAAGACCTGGCGCTGGACATGTTCCAGGACAATCCGCACAAGCGGAAGCAGATCCCCGACATCGCCGAGCATTCGGAGGGAAATGTGGTGCTCTATAGGATCGGTGAACACATCGACATCAGCAAGGGGCCCATGATGGGGAGCACAAGATTCTTGGGCCGCTGCACCGTCGCTGCCGTGCACCGTGTCCAAAAAGACGGATTGGATCTCTATAGGTTTCAAGGTGTTGCACTGCCGTATGGCATGCTGTTGAATCATTTTGCATATGGACTCATTGAAGAGAGGGGGCGGTTGCTAAATCATGGCTGGAGTCGTGCCCAAGCATGGTGAATGAATTCCATTAATTAGAAGTTTGTTGTTCTTTTCTCTGGAGGAATGTCTCATGCTGACCTTAAGGATGGAGCTGCTCACACCTTATAATGCCTAATGTTTGGGAAGAAAAGGAGCTCCATAAATTGATTGGACTACCATTGGCAGACAGATGGGAATTCTGTTCGTGTAGGTTATAACAATGAAACAAAAGACCCAGGATTTTGTGTAGCTGTATGTCTGGTAGGGTAAAAGACCCAGTGATGGGCCTGTTAATGGCGGGTACTCAGTGATGGGCCACTTCGCAGGAAAATTCCAAAAACTAGGCATTTGTTCCATGAACACCTCTAAAGTGTCTATGTGCTTGAATACTGCTAGCATATGTCACAACATGGGTAGGCTTGGTTTGGAAGCTTTGCTATTGGAATTTTGATGTGCTGTGGCCCATCACTGGGATGGGCCACTTCGCAGGAAAATTCCAAAAACTAGGCATTTGTTCCATGAACACCTCTAAAGTGTCTATGTGCTTGAATACTGCTAGCATATGTCACAACATAGGTAGGCTTGCTATGGAAGCTTAGCTATTAGAATTTTTATGTGTTGTGGCCCATCACTGGGGACCGGTCCATCACTGGGTCTTTTACCCTATATAAGAATCAATTATTTTCGAATGCGGTTTGGTCGACATGCTCATTTTTGTAGGAGGAAATGATATCATCCGCTCCTCCCACAGGGCTTACCTTTGGCGTCTGATATATGGGACATTTGTCCGATATGGGTTAAAGCACATCAACCAGATACATATAGCTAACCTCTGATGAGGCAACCTGGCTCCTGCCACTACCAAGACTGCGGCAAAGCTCACAAACGAGCACACATCATCAGTAACGCAGACTGCTGGTTTTGCGTGAACTAGTTGCGCTCATCGCAAAACACTTGAGAGATTAAGGTACAGTTCGTTAAGTCCCAAAAAGGACCAATCCTTAATCCACAAAGAGCGACAAAAGTCTCATTTGTTATACTTATTTCCTATTCCTCTCCTTTCCGCTTCCCAAAAAACAGGCTTTAGACAAATGCGAAGCAGGGCTTTGGCAGGCTAATGCCACTAATGGCACCCCAGTAAGGGTTCGTGCCGTCTGGTCCAACCTGAAGTCGCCACTAGATGACCAATTCTTGAGTCTGAATCAAATAAACATGACTCCCATACTGTTTGCTCGAGAACATCAAAATGATGCCATCATAGTTGATATTATTTTCTTTAAAATATATCCAGTTAGTTATCCCTGCAGGCACCCAAAGTCAACGGTCAATGATCCGTCTTATAGGAAGTAGTGCTCTATCCTCGATTAGTTACTCGGCTGCCGTTTTGGCTACAAATTTACCAGGGAGATAATCATTGCTTGAATATTAGAGAACATGCCGATAGATTCCTTAACCAAAGGTCATGAGCTTCGTTTGTTCGGAGGCTTTTTGGAGAAAAGTATCGAAAAGTGCTCAAAATCGGGCATAAACCCCAGT